ACTTATAATGCTTGAGCAATTTGGCTTTTTTGCTATACAGCACTAATAACTTATCTTCCAGTGGAGGTCTTTACCAAAATGCTGAACAGTTAGTTTCTCATATTATGACATTTAAATAGATTTTTAAATATTCTATATTTCTTAGCCGTTAATAACTCATCAAGAACCAAAAAATGCAAAGAAGTGATAAATATAATATTTTCGACGTTAATAATAAACGTTTTTAATTAATGTAAATGTTTCGGTGACGGGTTAAAAGTAGTATAAGTATCATTCGGTAAAAAAAGTGAATGGCGTAAAAACTGTTCATCAATAGAGCGCTTTACGGCAAGTTAAAGGCCGATTAACGTCGCTGTTTTTTCGTCAACGTGAGTCAAGTACGTTTTGAGTATTTAATATATGTCGCTATTTGAATAGTATATAATTGGAGGGATTTTGAGCCGTATATGTATCATCGAAACAGCAAGATATAAACGTTATGTGATTTGTGGTACTCGTAAATCGATTGTAAAAGTATTTTATTCTCACTAAATACCGAGAAGGTATGCTGTAATGTTTTCGCCGATAATCGGTATTGTGATGTTCATTCACTTATGGTAATTATTGTTCAGAATCTACCGAACATTTCAATTCATGTAAAACTATTTTTAAAAAAAAATTATCCGATATAATTGCTGATAATTTCTTTTTTTCCCCTTTTCTTGAATCAAACGGCACACGGATTTCCTTGAAAAACCGCATTACAAGATAAAATAAACCCAAAAAGTGCATCACCGATTATTGCATTAGTGCACCTTCAGCCGTGAAGTAAAAGAATATCATTGTTTCCATTTATTCACATACATCAGTTTTGGTATTCTATTTTCTTCCTCTTGCCGACGATCACATGTTTTGTACATATCTTCGCTTTTTTTCAAAAAAAAGTTGCCTCCTCATATTGATACTGCCATAGAAAAGCGACAGAGAGTGAATCACTTACTCAGGTGCATAAGAGTTTCTCAGTAAATAAATGAATTTACTCAGAAGCTAGTGAAAATCACTTACTCAGATGCATAAAAGGCAGTTTCTCAACTTAAATTTGTTAAAAACTTTCTGAGTAAGTCAAAATTTTTTAAGTAACTGTATCCAAATGAAGGAGTGGTTTGCCATCCCCTAATCAATAACGCTGGCTGCGAATGTATCTTTTCTATTTCTTTATCGATTCCTTTAACGAAGGCCACCTTATCGATCTTCAGAATTGTCTACAAGATGTATATTTTGATTTCGATTTTGCTTCGACCATTCGATTGAAATTTTATTAAAGCTTTTGTGGCATATCGTGTGAATGCACCAGTACTACTTGCGCGATGTTGCTTGAATGTTGTGTATCTGAACTTCAAGTAACTTTGATCTGATAAACTTGTAAAGAAGAACTCTTGATGAGTTGATGCCTTCGAGTAAAAGTTGAGCAATCTTTCCGTCATCTTTTTATCTGTTGATAAATGAATTTGTTTTGATTTGTCGAAACTCCATTTGCTGCTGTCCGAAATTTGCGTTTCACTGATCCTTGAGAACGTTTTCCTCTGCCCAGAGAATTAGTATTCATCAGGCGTTGAAGCTAAAATTGATCTTCATCATGTTTTCTTACTTTAGACTGATTCGATAATATAATAGAATCTAAAGTTTCTTGAATATTTTATTATTTTTAAGTCTTTTCAGTATGTCGTGCTTTTAGAGCGAGTTAGTAGCTTTTTTAAGGATTAAGAATAACTGTAAAAATAAACAATGGAAACGAAAACACTTAGCACTGTTTTTGACATGAGAGACTAGTCAGTATGAAATAGTTGTTTACAAAAAACTGGGAGTGCACGTGATTATTCCGCTATGACGTGCCTAGTTCAAAAATAGATCTATAGCAACTTATGACTCTTGCTGGAAACAGTCTCTTCGTTTACATCAGTATTTTAAACTCAATTTGAAAGTGATAAGATCGCAAGAGCCCTTTCATATTTCATATGGCTGTAAAATGTTTGCTTTGCAATATCATTATTTCGCTTTTTTTAAGAACTGACTGGGCTGATTACTAAGCAAACACTACAAAATTCAATTATGTAAATGAATTTTTTCTGTAGTCTAGGTATATAGCCTACCAGTTTACTTATTCTAATAATGGTTACATATTGTATTATTTTACATAGCTGACTATACTTCACCGAATGCTACGTAATAAAAAAAGTTCTGCACAGTAACGATTTTAACCAGTTCCGTTTTTAGAGCTATTTGTTCAGATTGAGATTTTTAACAAATATGAATGGCCGATTTGTGTCCAATTTATGATCTTGAACAAAACTAAATCGCATAATGTATATTATGAACGTCAGAAATCTTACAAGGCAGCGCAAAACATTAAGATTCCACTACAAAAACTATTTCTTTTAGAAATGTTCTAAAAACTTTTCCTCCGATATTTGTCGTAGTCATCGGACAACTGCTAGGAACCGATGCTACAATCGTTGTTCTAAAGTGAACAACAGGTGAAGCACCGACATAATTTCATAATATACACAATGACAGGTTACATAACGCTAACAGTTTCTGAAAAGCATTCTGCCGGCTTCTTGAAACTCTTAATAATCCTATGTGCAGTTCTAATACCCGAATCCTTGATCAACGATTGATTTCATGCAGCTGAACAAATCTTTCATTAATATTTACATCAGATAGTGGGATGCTGGACGTCTAGTTTAAGTGTCAGATCTCAAATCTAAATTATGCGGGACACTTTGTGCTGCTCTACCTGTATTGTAGTGGTGGCACTACTAGAGAATTGCAATGGAAAAAAGGTTTTGTATCTTGAAACTGTCAATACTGTATTTTCTATATAAACTATTTTGTAATGATTCGATGAGATCCAGATAGACAATCACACAAGTATCTCTTGTAGAAATTAGTTAATAAAATGCAAAAGAGGTACTTCCATTTAGGTCCGCCCAGTTTATACATGACATAACAGCCGAAAAAATTTCAAGACTCTTCTCGTATAGAGCGTAAAAAGTTACACAGAATCCCATATTTGTTTGCTAAAAAAGTCATATTCTACATGCCTTTTCAGGCCTGTCAAGTTTTGCCCTCTCTTACAATCAAACAACTTAAGGTTAAACAAAAGAAAAAGTTCTTGCACTAAAGCTAAAAATGAAGCTAAAGAGCTGATTAATCCAATGAAAAAAGAACAAGGTCGATATCTATTTTCCACTTTTAGCACGAAGCCCATCTCTGAAGACCCCTTTCTTAAAACAGTCAGGTTTCAGGCCCCACAGCACAAGAACTATATGGTAGAATTTTTTTGTTTTTCTCTCGTTTGTAGTACTCATCGAGCTCTACAAAATGGCATCAAAGACATTTTGGGCCCGCTTCCTTTTCACCCTCTTTTCTCGATCACAAAAGTCAAAAATATCGATTACTGTTTTCATGTTTTCACCTGATTTTCACTCTGTTCTTAAAATCCAATCGAAGCGAAATAGTTGTTAATTCGCAATTCATCGTATTTTTAACTAAAGTAATACAAAATTGCTTAAAAACAGGTGTACAGAAAGCCTTTTTATGGAACACTATTTTCTCAAAATTTTATTGGCCTACTTTGTCCAATGAGAGTCAGTATATTCGATGTGAGTAAGGTATCGCTTAGGATAGTTTAGCGGGAAACTTATAGCCGCATTCGTAGAACATATGTTACTTTAATTAAAAGTAAGATGGATTGCGAATTAACTACTATTTCGCTTCGATTGGATTTTAAGAACAGAGTGAAAATCAGGTGAAAACTTGAAAACAGTAATCGATATTTTTGACTTTTGTGATCGGGAAAACAGGATGAAAACGAAGCGGGCCAGAAATATCTTTGATGCCACTTTGTACAGCTCGACGAGTACTACAAATGGGAGAAGAACAAAAAAATTCTACCATATAGTTTTTGTGCTGTGGGGCAAGAAAGTTGACTGTTTTTGAAAAGGGGTCTTCAAAGATGGGTTTCATACTCAAAGAGGAAGATAGATATAGACCTTATTCGTTTTTCATTGAATTAATCAACCCTTTAACTTCGTTTTTATGTATATTCCAAGAACTTTTTGTTCTTTTTTGCCTTCAGAAAAGATGAAATATTGAGTGCCGTTTTTTTATTTTCGACCATTTTGCGATAGCTGGCCTGCCATTGTAAAAGTACTAGGACAAGTTTCTGATATTAGTATATGTACTACTCGAGTTGCGCTTTCGTGCGATATATCCAAAGATGATGTAAGCTCTTTAGAGGCATAGAAAACCAAGGTCAAAGTTGCTTTCTTAGAGGGAGAGTCGAAACTTGACATCCGTCAAAAGGCATGTAGAATATGACTTTTTTAGTGAACAAATACGAGATTCTATGTATTTTTTTATGCTTTACACGAGAAGAGTCTTGAAATTTTTTCGGCTGTTATGTCATGTAGGCGGACCTAAATGGAAGTACCGAAAGATTCATTCATCCACATAGAATCCATTAACTCTATTCAAAATATTTAATTTTTAAATTAATCATTTTTGCACGTACTTGTTGCTCGAGCGCTCAGACTGAACTGCGCACAAACTCGACTAAATATTCTGAGTATGTCATTCGAGAAAGCAGCCAGACTTGGTTTTGATCAGGACATATGCATTACAAAGATTTGGATGATGTTGGTATAATTGGTATAGAGATGCTTGGTTTTTTTTTCCTTCTCTTATTCTGGTAGAGAAATAAGAATACTAAAAAGTTAAAATGAAAAAAAATAAAAAGAAAGGTGAACATTCATTGGATTTTTTTTCATTCAACATAACATGTATTGAATTAAATATTATACTTTCAAAACGAAGAAACGAAAACAAACTTCAGTGCTTCATGTTGAAAAAAAATTGTAATTAGATTTTAATGGACGTTTTTATCAAAATCGTCAGATAAATCTGTTAAAAAACAAACAAATGGAAAAATGGTATCCGATGTATTAATGTCATCTCACATGTCAGGACTGCGCGATTCAGTTGAACCAGGGCAAACACAACGTCCCGCTCCACCGAATTCCGCAACAATTCAAGATTTAGCTGACTATTACCATACTTCATCACTCAACTATTGGCCAAAAACAAAACTAAAACGGTCGTTAACAACACAACTCATCGATGGCGATACTGTTGGCCTAAAAGAATCATATTCTATGCGTGGTATTCATGGATTTTTTCCACAAACAAGAAAAACTCGGGCAAAAGTAATCAGTAGTGAAAAACGATCGGTTAGTTTGAATAAATACAAAGTAATTATGCTTTTCTCTGTAAAATATATTTCAGTATAGCAACGGAAATTACTGATAGAATATATAAAACACGTGATACGAGCGTTTGCAGGAAAGACAAAACATTTTTTTAATTTATCAATGTGATATTCTATTTAAAAAAAAAATTTTCTCTTTCAGTAACCTCAGTGTAAAGGTTCAATTCCTATTCTGATTTTCTACTTTAATCCATCATCGAGAGAAAATGAAGTTTTAATTCATCTGTTTTAGCGTCAGCATGCGTACATGTCACTGGTACCTGCTGACAATAAAACAACCATCACATCAACATCTGACAAATCGTCTATATCTTTAAATCGATCATTCAAGAATAAATCTCCTCCTCTATCAACCTATTCGGTAACACTCACAACGGCAACTAATTCGTTTAGTCTTCCTCAAGTACAACAGAGTACAAGTACAAGTATTAAAAGAGAACATTCATCCCGTACGCAAAATGCAGATGACAGACAATTAACTTATACAGGTGTTGATACTCCGCAGTATTATGGTACTTATACAATACCAAGGGTAAATTCATGGGTACAACGATGGAAAACCAATTATGAAATGCATACGCTAAGTAATTTGATGCGTGATAGTCCGAATCGAATTATGAAAAAACGCTCGTTCATGACCAAACATGATCATTATGCTCAGAATGACTCAATTTTATCTTCCGCATCATCATTTTGTCAATATAAAAAGAAGCGAAGTTGATAATACGAACGATTCAGAAGAAATAAAAGGAAAAAAGATAATTCATTTCTACAATTCTAGTCGAAATTCCGTTTTTCCGAACATATCGTTTAGTCTATGCAGCAACATAGTTCATGTGGTAGATATTGATATGGAAAAGAAACTATAAATCCAATTTATTATGTACATTCATTATCAGCCGTGGATATATACAGTATTCTCCAAAGTAGGGTCATCTCTATAATTCATGAACCTTAACATCTAGTATTTGAAATTTTGTGTGATTGTTGATCTTATTAAAGGGTGATTAAACAAAAAGTTTTAGCTCTTATTGTTTCATGGTTTTTGAGCCATTATATTTGCATTTTTTTCACACTAAAATCCAGTAAATTTTAGAGCCAGAAAGATTATTAATGCGTTTATTCTACAAAAGTAGAGTGTAGCTCTAGAATATGTATAAAATATAAAATAAAAACAAATGAAACAAGTACTTGACTGGACTTTTTCAAGTAGATTTACGTGCATTGTGTCAGCCAAGTACTTGCATTTTACTTGTCAAGCACTTTCTCAATTACTTGACAAGTAAATTTACTTGGAAAAGTCCACAAGTACTGTCCTCATTACTTAACCCAAGTACTTGGCTCAAGTACATTCACTAGGGAGGCTACCCTAGAGAACGTACTTGGACCAAGTACTCCACTTGCGTAATGAAGCCGGTACTTGTCCTTTTTCAAGAAGTAAATTTACTTGTAAATACTTGTCCTTACTTGCCAAGTACTTTCAGAAAGTACTTCTTAGCAATAAGTCAAGTATTTCGTTCATTGACAAGTACTTAGCAGGTAATCAACTACTTGCATCAAGTACGCTCTCTAGGGTAGTAATTTCATTAATTACAATGCGTAAAGTACATGATATTAAACGTTGAGAAAAATTAATTTTTGTTTATCACTGTGATTAGGAAATGTTAGCTTTGATTTGTATCGAACATTTTAAAATTTAGCTGAATAAAAGCATTGGATGGAGCTGAAAATATTATATATCGGGTATCCCAAAATGTTTCCGACATTGTACAGAAAAATAATAAAATCTTCAAGTTTTTTTTAAAAAATGCGCAATTCAATTGTCTACAAACTTCTATTTAGCTCAATTTAAAATAATAAAACTAAATGTTTTATAGGTCACATAGTGTGACGATATGAAGATCCTATCAAAAAAATTATAACTGAACAGCCTGCCAGCGTTGCATCTACGAAGCAAAAATGTGGAAACTTCCTACTGAACTGTTGGATTATAACATAGAACTTATATAACAGCGTAATAATGTATCGTACTGATTTTTAAAACTTGTGTCTAAACATATCAAATGCACTGTCTATTACTAATTCATAGTCTATTACTAACAGACATTTCAGTAGCTATAAACACCAAATTTATATTGAAATTTGGTCAACCACAATTTCACGCCGAAAGTTTACAGCTACTGGAATGGTGTTTACAACTTACTGAAATGGTGTTTTTTTTCGAAATTTTGTTCGAAGTTTCCATTATTGGCACCTTATATAAAACGCGTCTTTTCGCGGTTTTTCACGAAACAGTTCTCCAGCACGTTAAGTCGCGTTTGCGTGAATGCCCGGTAGTGGCCAATATCCTGACTCATTTTGATATCCCATACAGAAAAAAACCGAAGAAAAAACCGCCTAAAAAGCGGCCAAAGCGGCTAAATAGCTATTTAAAAAACCGCTGTAGTCACTCGAATTTGTTTTAAAAATAACCGCTTTGCCCGCACAAAACCGCGGTCAACGGCCGCTTACACTATTTTTGATATTGTTCGAAAAACCGCCTAGAACCGCCGTTTTTGGTAAAGAAAAACGCCTACAGCCGCAGTTTTTCTTGGTGAGAAAGCCGTCGCCAGCCGCAATTTTTTTGTTAAAAATCCGCCTTTCTAATACAGTATTCATCTAAAAAGCCGCTTGAAACACCCGAATTAGTGTAATAAGAAATTGGTAAGAGTCAGCAAAACTCGTACGTTATTCTTATAAGATTCTTGTAAGAATCCTATGAAAAACACGATCGACTCTCCTACAGAAAAATCCCAGTACAGTGCTGGAAAAAGGCCGGCACTACTAGTGCGCATGGCATGTTATGTTCCACCGGTACGTACTAGTTCCACATTTTTCCAGTCACCGTTTTGTTATCTACGATTGCACTATATTTTACTCGGACTTTTCTTCGAGAACATAGTGCAATCAAATTTTAATGTGCTCGTCGAGCAGACAATGCTTTTGTCTTGTTATAATCTCTATCTGAAAAGGAAAAAATCAGTATGAATCAGGTACCCTATAAAAAAATTCCAGTGCAGCACTGGTAAAAATCAGTGCGCATGGCATGCCATCGATCACTGGCACTGGCTGGCACCGGTGCGCACCCGTACCCAGCAAGTGCCGAATCAGTGCCGCATGGGTGCTGCACTGGCAAAAATCGGTGCCGCACTGATAATTCATTTAATCAATTTAATTAGTTTTTTATTATGGTTGTTGATACTGAATTTTGTATTACAGTGCGGCACTGATCAGTACCACATCGACATGCCAAAACCATGCGGCATTGCCTCGGCACTTCTCTTATGAGAAGGAAAAGATGAAGTCAGAAAGACATTCGAAATATTACAAGTAGACTGTAGCGTTAATACAGACAGAAATTGCCAAAACAAAATGGTGATTGAAAACAAAACTTCGGCACTGATGCGCACCGATGCGAGATTTTACATTCTTTCTGGCACCGATGCGCATCGGTGCCCAGAAAAAAATTATTCGGCATCGGTGCTCACCCGTGCACAACCAGTGCCGATAAAATATTTTTTTGTAGGGTAGCAAATTCAGCTCTCTGCTCCCTTAAATAGGTCACATTTTCGCTAGTCAGGATGTTAAACTATCGGATTTTTCGACAAGTTTTCTTTTGAGACACCTCTTTCGCAGATTAACTAAGTCCGTATATATATGTCACAAAAAAAGAATGAAAAACAACAACTTTTGATATAAAAGGGTCACTTAAAAAGGAAGTGTTTCGAAGGAAGTGTGATAGTCGAGACACTGATTTCACAATCAAAACTTGTACACAGTAGTTTATTAGTACAGTAGTTTATTAACACGCCCTCTCTGTGTCTAAATTCTATGGCAAGCAAGAAAAATGTTAGAAAAGGATAGATTGCTCCACGTGACATAAACATCTATAGATATATATATACTCTCGCCACGTATATGACTGACGATACGAACGTTTTTTACTCATATGATATAATAATAACAAAAAAAAGAGTAGAATTATTAAAGAGTCAAAGAGTTCAGGGATCCCAGATCCAAAACACGAAAATCAGAAAAATCTGAGAAAAAGAAGTAAAAATCGGAAATCAGAAAATCAGTAGATCTTAGGACAAAGAAGGGTAGAAACGAGGCAGAAAAAGTTCCAAAAATCAGAATTTTTCTGCCAAAATCAGAAGATCTGGGATCCCTGAAAGAGTTTGTTGAATCGTTGATTTTCTTTGATATATTGGTCTACAATAGAGCAGATTGAAATAGTGCATTTAATGCTTCTTTTGCTTTTCTAACATTTCTGACCATTCAAATATGGCGCACATAGCAATAGACGTAGAGTAAAAAGAAACAGAAACCCCAACCTTGTTACCTTTTTGCGTCATTGCAAGGCTCGTTTGTTTTGATACTCTTATAAACTTCGTTATATGCTGTTTGACCGCTGTTGATGACTGCAGTTTTGAGCTACCAAAGCGGCTAGTATGACACAAACTCCGATGTCTCGAGCGGTTTTTAGATGAGTACTGCATTGGAGAAAACCGCATCTAGCAGTGTTTATTTTTTACAAAAAAATGGCGGTTCTAGGCAGTTTTCCGAACAATATCAAAAATAGTTTAGGCGACCGCTGACCGCGGTTTTGAGCGGGCAAAGCGGTTATTTTCACACAAATACGAGTGACTCAAGCGGTATTTTACATCTCTTGTAACCGCTCTTTTAGGCGGTTTTCTGTGCTTTTTTGTCTAAGTTTAGGCCGCCGACAACCGGTACTTATGACCGCTTAAGCCGCCGACAATCGCTACTTGTAACCGTTGAGCCGTCGACAACCGGTACTCATGACCGTCTGCCCTAGTCGAGACTCCTGATTAATCTCCCGCAGGAGTCCTGGAACAAAAGTCCTACAGGAGTCAGCAGGAGTCCTGTCACGGGACCCCAGCAAGATCCTCTGTGGAGTCATGGAGGATTTTTAAGGGATTCAAGAGGGATTCCTCAAGACTCCCACAGGAGTTCTA